TCCTGGTTTCCTAGTTCCTTTGGTGATGTAGATTATATGTAGGCTGGTAATCTTTTGCTTTTTGTCTAAAATTCATATATGAATGAGTACATACCATGTTTGCCTTTTTGTGACTAGGTTGGCTCACTCAGGATGGTTTCCTTTAGTTCCATAAATTTGTCAGCAACTCTCAAGTTAAGTGTGAGGAGGAATCTCAAGATTCCATTGCTTTTTTCCACTGAGTAGTACACAATTGTGTAAATGTACCACATTTTCTCTATCCATTCTTCAGTTGAGGGGCATCTAGGTTGCTTCCAGGTTCTGGCTATTACAAATAATCCTGCTATGAATATAGTTGAACATATGTCCTAGTTGTATGAATGTGCATTCTTTGGGTATATGCACAGGAGTGGAATTGCTGTATCTTGAGGTACACTGATACCCATTTTCCTGAGACATGACCATGCTGATTTCCAAAGTGGTCTTACAAGTATGAACTCCCACCAGCAATAAAGGAGTGTTCCTCTTTCTCCACATCCTCTCCAGAAAAGACTGTCAATGGTGTTTTTTGATTTTAGCCATTCAGACTGGTGTAAGATGATATCTCAGAGTTGTTTTGAGTTGCATTTCCCTGATGGCTAAGAATTTTGAGTACTTTCTTAAGTGTCTTTCATCCATTTTAGATTCCTCTGTTGAGAATTCTCTGTTTACATTTGCGCCTCACTTTTTAATTTCATTAACTGGTGTTTTGGTGGCTAGCTTCTTGAGTTCATTGATTTTGATGTGGATTGCTTTGAAGAGGTCAAGACCAGGTGAAACCCACAAAATCAACTGACCTGAATAAGGGGGAGCACATGGACCCCAGACTGATATCTGGAAGGCCAGCATGGGACTGATCCAGACCCCTGAACATGGATGTCAATGAGGAGACCTAGGTACTCTATGGGGCCTCTGGTGGTAGATCAGTATTTATCCCTGGCTTAAGAAAGGACTTTGGAAGTCCATTCAATGTAGAGGGATGGTCTCTCAGCCTGGACACATGGGGGAGGGACCAGACCCTCCCAAGGATAATCTGACAGAATTTGGGGTTACTCCATAGATGTACTTAACTTCCCTGGGGAGCAGGATGGATGGGATTGGATACAGGTGAAGGGAGGGGGAGGAGGGGAGAGAGAGGGAGAAGGGATTAACATGTGAAGCAGGATTATTTCTAATTTGAACTAATAAAAATAATTTCTAGGGAAAAAAATAATGCTGCTATGAGGATTGTTGAACAGATGTCCTTGTTGTATGAATGTGCTACTTTTTAGTATATGACAAAGTGTGGAATTGCTGGATCTTGTGGTAGACTGATTCCCATTTTCCTGAAGAATCACCTTATTGATTTCCAAAGTGGTTATACCAGCTGGCACTCCCACCAGCACAGGAGGAGGATTCCCCTTTCTCCACACCCTCTCCAGCATAAATTGTCATTGGTGTTTTTTATTTTAGCCATTCTGACAGAAATAAGATGGTATCTCAGAGTTGTTTTGATGTGCATTTTCCTGATGCCTAAGGATACTAAATATTCTCTTATGAGTCTTTCAGCCATTTTAGATTCTTCTATTGACAATTGTCTATGTAGTTGTGTACCCCACTTTTTAATTGGATTATTTGGTGTTTAGGAGTTTAGCTTCATGAGATCTTTGAAATTTTGGAGATAAGACAACTGTTGGATGTGGGGTTGGTGAATATCTTTTCCCATTCTGTGGACTGCTGTTTAGGGTTGCTGACTGTGTCTTTGCCTTACAGAAGCTTCTCCATTTCAGAAGGTCACATTAATTAATTGCCCATCTCAGTGTCCATGCTAATGGTGTAAAGTTCAAGGAGCAGTTTCCTGCAAAAAATTTGTTCAAGGGTATTTCCAAATTTCTATTCAAAGAGGATCAGTGTGACTGGATTTATGTGGAGGGCTTTGATCCATTTGGACTTAAGTTTTGTGTGACCAATGTTGGAAAAAGAAGAAGAGATTGTAGGATTCTCTGCCACCATTACTGAGAATTTCGGAGCATGCACTCTCCTTTTCCCCTGTTATCCAACAAGGGGAGATAATTTACCATGTTTTGGAACCATTCCATTTCTGTAGGTATAACTGAACATATCTTGATGGTAATGGTCATTTTAGCATACAGAAACCACGTAAATCTCCTACCACATTAAGACCAAATAAACAACATCTTACTATCATGGTAACAGAGGGAGAAAACATATTTTTTTTATATTTTTGAGGTCCATGTCATAACAGTACTAAGTGTTTGACACCTGATTTGGGAAGTATGCATTTCAGTTATCCTATATTGTGTGCATTTGATGTCGATGACATCGCATTCACAAAAATTACAGGTTGCAAAGAGATACAACTTGGACAAGGAGAGAGCAATTCACTCAGATCCATGTTTCAGGAGAACATTCACATGAGAACACAGAGATCTAGGAACTTGTACACAGAAATTAGAGAAGGAAGCAAACACACTCAGTTTCTCGAGTGTAACATTAATAAACCTCAAACCCCATAATATTCAGGATCATTGGGAGGCATCAAAATGATCAACAAAAACATTAGTGTTTCGCTTAGATACCAGAAAAAGACCACTATAGGAGTCCTGATAGATAAGTTGCATGGCTCCTTTCACTTACCAATGTTTCAAGAAATAGAAATATATGAGAAGCTCACCCTAATCTAGTGCTGATGTACAGAGTTCTCAAAAAAAAAAAAACCAAATGAATTAAAGTGAAGTGCACTTCACTTCTCATTCTGTTGTAGAAAATGCTTGGTTTTTCAGAGAATCAAATCTTCTTCACAATATGAAATTCAAATATTCATGCACAGTGAAAGTGAGTGCAAATGCCCAATATTCTGGCAAATATCTGATTTAGGAAGGACATCTGGACTTCCTAAATGGTGTGAAAGGCTTCAGTGTCACCCCAAGTAATAAACCCTCGGATGATGCATGCAAAAGCAACTACTGCCTTGGCTCAATTGTCAATTATTTTAGTATCCATGCGATAGCCTGTCAAAGATTGAGGACCACCTGAACTATCATTTCAAGGTAGACAGAGCAGTCTGGACAAAAATTCCATCCATGATATTTTGTATTTCTATTTTCTTGCAGGTTAGAATAACAAAGGGCTCCTCACACTTCAGGCGGGAATGGTAAGCATCGAATCCTATTCTGTTGTGCAGTTACCTCTTTTCTTTGACTGTTTTATATATCCTTGGGATCAAAGACTCCACTAGTTGAAGCAATAGGTTTTCCAAGATTTCCCTGTCTTGGCACTTATGTGTGGATTCCTGCTAAATTAATCAAGTTGATACCATTTCAGGCCACAGGAATTCTAGGTCTCATAGAGTGGAATTGCCTTGTCAAGTAACTGTCAAGGTACCCAAATTTTATTGGTACCTCTATTTCCCTTGATTTAAAAAACAACAGTTTGGAAATGGCATTTTTAAATATCTTCTTTAACCTTCTCAACTCAAGCTTTCTATTCTAAGTTTCACTTGACATGATAAATATTAACCCATCCCAATGTTTCCATATCTCATTCTTCTCACCATTCAGTAGACTCCCATTTCTACCCACCTGATCTTGACACCCATTTCTAAGCAATAAAATAGTTACCAATCCAGTAGGGAATAATTATCCGCAGAGAATAGAGAAGAAAGTTTATTGTTTGACTTTTCTGACACATAGGTCCATGAATTATGACAATGTTCTTTTAGGGAGTTCACTCTTTGCTTTCTTTGCCTATTACAGAGGTGACTATAAGTATATTTTTATTGGAAAGAGCTCAAAACTTGTATTTTGTGGTTATACAACACATTTAACAGCACATCTGCACAAAATTGAAGCATGAGGTGAAACTCTCAGACAAACTAGCAAAAATTAATGTTAACTAGAAACCATTTCTATGCATATGATACTGCTCCACCCATTTCTAACCAATAAAATAGTTACCAATCCAGTCAGGATTGATTACCCCTGGAGAACAGAGAAAAAAGTTTATTGTTTGACTTTTCTGACTCATATGTCCATGAATTATGATGATGTCCTCTCAGGAAAATTCTTTGTTTTCTTTGCTTCTTACAGAGGTGACTCTAAATATATTTTTATGGTAAAGCCCTCAAACTTGTATTTTATGGCTAAATAAACACATTTTACTTTACATCTGCACAAAATTTGAGCATAAGGTGAAGCTCTCAATCAGACAAACTAGCCAGAATTAATGTTAACTAGAAAACATTTCTATTCAGAGATCCCTACAACTGACCTCTTGTAAATTTAAGAGGAAAATTACATCTTGGTCTGTTAACAAAAAGAGCTCTCATCCAGACACAAATGCACAAACCTCAGGCATGTCACTGATAATGCATCTAGGACTATGGTTAACATTTACTGATCAGATACACATCCTTGGAGATGATTGCATTGGGATACACATTGCATGATTCTCCATTAGTATTGACATTTTCTTGAGGGAATGGAGATTCCATGTTGTATTGTGGGAAACAAGATATACTCAGTGGCCATGGGTGGGAGATGATGATGCAAAGCAAGAGGAGAAGCGGGAGCAGGAGGAATAGGAATCTAACAAACATCTGGTTATGAATACATTCTCAGGAAATCCAAAAGCTGGCATGCCATTTAAATTTTTTAGAGGATGACCTCTGCCATTTTTGATGTGTTCTTTTAAAAATATTTTATCCATTTTTGTGTAAAGTAGACATCAGTTTAGAAACACATCCCATTAAATGCTGTGTGAAGTGTCTCTGTCTTATCAAGTACTGTGGCAAATTGGAGATTGATCTGTTTCACCTCATGGACACTTTAAGATGCAAGAGATGATATGTTCATTCTTTGTGTGGTTCGGTACCTCTGTTTAGAACCTGAGCAACAAGCCATCCATTTCAAAGCCAGAGAGACTAGCTATTCTAGCCTTCCTGTGGCATTGGAAAGACTCAGGAGTCAAGACAGGGCTCCTCTGGATCGATGAGGACAACAAGTCTCTGAGAACGGTGATCGACTCATACAAATGGCAATCTGAGGTCCAGACAGGAGGTCCTCTTGACAACTATGATCTTTCCCGAATATGGCTAGCACTCTTCCGTTTTGTGGGATGGCAGATAATGGTGCAGACTGGCTTTGGTCTCCCAAATTTTGAGTGAATAACAATGTTTGGTCGGGGAAACATGTCCTATCATTTGCTGCATCACTGTCTGTAATACTCCCCTAAGCCATAAGTCTACCTTGCTTTGAAGGTATTCACCAATGCCTGCTTGAAAGATAGAATCCAAAGATTAGGAAGAGGTGAAATCATCACTAAGCATCTCACAGGCCATGAACTGGGAAAATCCTATATTGGCGAAAGGAGAAGAGATTGTAGGATACCATGCCACCATTCCTGAGAATTTCGTAGTGTGCAGTCTCCTGATCCCTATTTGCCAACAATTGGGGATAATTTACCATGTTTTGGAACCATTCCATTTCTGTAGGTATAACTGAACATATCTTGATGGTAACGGTCATCTTGGCATCCAGTCACAACATCAATCCACTTCCACATTCAGACCTAATAAGCACCAACATCTTACTGTCATGGTAAAATCTGGAGTAAATTGTAATTTTTTGATGTATTTGTGGTCCATTTCATGATAGTATTAGGTATTTGACCTGATTTGGGAAGAATGCACTTCAATTGTTTTTATACCCTATGTATTTTATTGTCGATGACATCCCATTCACAAACCTTACAGGTTGCAAACAGATACACCTCAGACACGGGGCAAGCAATTCACTCAGATACATGCTATGGGAGAAGACTCACATAAGAACCCAGAGTTAGGAACTTGTACACAGAACTTTGAGAAGGAAGCATACACACTCAGTTTCTTGAGTGTAACACTAATAAACTTCAAACCCTACAATACTCAGGATCATTGAGATGGATCAAAATGATCAGTAGAAATCATACATTTTGGTATGTAGATGATACACCTCGAACAGATTCTTTAAGAGTCCTAATAGATACTTTGCATGATTCCTTTCACATATCAATGATTCAAGAAAGGGAAAAAGAATGAGAAGCTCACCCTAATCTAGCAATGATGTACAGAGTTTTCTCTCTCTCTCTCTCTCTCTCTCTCTCTCTCTCTCTCTCTCTCTCTCTCTCTCACACACACACACACACACACACACACACACACACACACACACACACACACACACACACAAACACCAATGGAATTCAATATTACACTGCACTTCTCATTCTCTTGTAGAAAATGCTTGGTTTTTCAGAGAATAAAATATTCCTCACAATATGAAATTCAAGCATTCATGCATAGTGAAGTGAGGGAAAATGCCCAATATTCTGGCAACTAACTGATTTACGAAGGACATCTGGACTGCTGGTGGAGTGCCAGCAGTGTTACCCCAAGTAGCAATCCCCTGGATGATGCATGCAAAAACAACTACTGCCTTGGCTCAATTGTCAATTATTTTTAGTGTACATGCGTAGGCTGTCTAGGATTGAGGACTACCTGCACTATCATTTAAAAGTAGACAGAGCAGTCTGGACAAAAATTCCATCCATGATATTTTATATTTCTATTTTCTTGCAGGTTAGAATAACAAAGGGCTCCTCACACTTAAGGCGGGAGTGGTAAGCATGGACTCTTATGCTGTTGTGCAGGTACCTCTTTTCTATGACTGTTTTATGTATCCTTGGGATCAAAGACTCCACTAGTTGAAGCAATAGGTTTTCTAAGATTTCCCTGTGTTGGCACTTATGTGTGGATTCCTGCTAAACTGATCAAATTGATCCCATTTTAGCCCACAGGAATTCTAGGTCTCATAGAGCATAATTGCTTGTCAAGTACTGTCAAGGGAGCCAATTATTATTGGAACCTCTATGGTTCTTGATTTAAAAGACCCCAGTTTTATCCAATTCTTCAAGGACAATATTGAAGAGCTATTGAGGGAATGGACAGCCTTGTCTTGTCCCCAATTTTAGAGAAATTGGATCGAGTTTCTCTCCATTTAATTTGATGTTGGCTGTTTGCTTGCTGTAGATTTCTTTTATTATTTTGAGATATGTTCCTGTTATCCCTGATTTCTCCAAGACCTTTATCATGAAGAGGTGTTGGATTTTGTCAAAGGCTTTTTTGGCATCTAGTGAGATGATCATGTGGTTTTTTTTCCTCAGTCTGTTTATATGGTGGATTACTTTGATGGATTTTCCTATGTTGAACCATCCTTGCATCCCTGGGATGAAGCCTACTTGATCATGGTGGATGACTTCTCTGATATGATCTTGTATTCGATTTGCCAGTATTTTATTGAGAATTTTTGCATCAATGTTCATGAGGGATATTGGTCTGTAGTTCTCTTTCTCAGTTGTGTCTTTGTGTGACTTGGGTATCGAGGTTATTGTAGCCTCAATAAGAGAGTTTAGAAATGTCTCTTCTGCTTCTATTGTGTGGAACAATTTGAGGAGAATTGGTATTAGCTGTACTTTGAATTTCTGGTAGAATTCTGCAGTGAATCCTTCTGGCCCCGGGCTTTTTTTGCTTGGGAGACTTTTGATGATTGCTTCTATTTCCTTAGAGGTTATAGGTCTGTTTAAGTTGCTTATATGTTCTTGATTCCATTTGGTAAGTGATAACTGTCCAGAAAATTGTCCATTTCCTTTAGTTTTTCAAATTTTGTGGAGTACAGGTTTTCAAAGTGTGACCTGAAGATTCTCTGGATTTCCTGAGTGTCCATTGTTATGTCCCCCTTTCATTTCTGATTTTGCTAATTGGCATGATCTCTCTCTGCCTTTTGGTTAATTTGGATAGCGGTTTGTCTATCTTGTTGATTTTCTTGAAGAACCAACTCTTTGTTATATTGATTCTTTGAACTGCTTTCCTTGTTTTGACTTTATTGATTTCAGCCCTCAGTTTGGTTATTTCCTGGTGTCTTCTCCTCGGGGTGAATTTGCTTTCACTTTTTCTAATGCAATCAGCTGTGATATCAAATCTCCGGTGTGGCTGTTCTCTAGTTTCTTCATGTGAGCACTTAGAGATATGAACTTTCCTCTTAGTACTGTTTCAAAGTGTCCCATAATTTTGGGTATGCTGTGTCAACATTTTCATTGAATTCTAGGAAGTCTTTAATTTATTTCTTTCTATTTTCCTAGAACCAGGAATGTTGCAATTGCGCGTTGTTCAAATTCCATGAGTTGGTAGGTTTTTTTTTGAACTTTGATTTGTTTTTGATTTCTAACTTATAACCACGGTGGTCTGAATAGACACAGCGGATTGTTCCAATTTTTTGGCACCTATTGAGGTTTGCTATATTGCTGAGAATGTGGTCAATTTTTGAGAAGGTTCCATGTGATGCTGAAAAGAAGGTATATTCTTTTGAGTTGGATAAAAAGTTCTATAAATGTCTGTTAATTCCAATTGGGTCATAACCTCTGTTAGTTCCTTTGTCTCTTTGTTAAGATTCTATCTGGTGGTCCTGTCCAGTGGTGAGAGTGGGGTGTTGAAGTCTCCCAATATAACTGTGTGAGGCCTTATTTGTGATTTGAGTTTTAATAATGTTTCTTTTACGAATGTTGGTGCCTTTGTATTTGGGGCATAGATGTTTAGAATTGAGACTTCCTTCTCGTAGGCCAGTTCACAGGCCTTCATTCCCAGGGACAGCCAGGATATTTCTCTGGGGCGAATAAGACCTATTCAGACTTCCAGTGCCCAAGGGCTGCACGGACACAGGCAGCCAGGCCAACTAAGCTGTCTATTGGACATTTGCCTTGGGGTTAGTGAACTAGTCCTGCCACTCAGGCATCAGGCAGCGCTAGCCAATTTGGGAGGTTGCAGCAGGCCAGGTCCTCTCCCCGGAGCCTCTGACCCATGGGCTCTTCGTCAAGTCTCAACCCGCTCACCACACATCTCTGGCATGGGAGACTCTCGAAATCCAAGCCATCCCGAGTTCCAAAGGCTTGCCTGGCACATGGGATGAGGAATGTCTCCAGTGCGCGGCAGTAGGCCCCCAAATCAGGCTGTGCATGTCCAAATATGGAGCATGAGGGTATGCCTCTGACTCTGGCCTATTGTCAGTGCTTTTTCAGAGGGCAATGAGATCTTGCTGTGCAGTCTACAGCTTGGAAAGGGTTTGGACCTTGTCAGGAACAGTGCCGGAATCAGATGCTGTAATGTCCTCAGGAGCCCTTATGGTTTCTTGCCTAGGATAGGCCTGCCATCTAATGCTAAGAGGGAAAGCCGGCAGTGGGAGGGGGAGAATCAAGAGAAGTGGTAAATTTATCTGGGCTCCCCAAACCTTAGGTTGTCATTCCCTGTCCCCTCCCCAGGGCCATAGATGACCAAGTGCCCCAATTGAGGTGGTGGAGAGCACTGGGCTTTCAGACGCTGGGCGAGTCTCTTTCCTCTTTCCTCTGACCCTGACATGCCCCTTCTTGCTCCCCAAGAGGTGCCTGGCCTTCACAAGAGTACTGATTGTGCTTGATCCCTTGCAGGAGACTAAAGAGGGCTGACCGTTTGTCCGAAGTTGGCCGAGGCCTACCCGCTAGGCCGTGTTTGCACTCCCGGTAAGCAGCACTGTTCGTGTCCCACTACCAGGTGTAAGCTGTGCCCTCTGAGGACCCGGGTCTATGATGACAAACCAATGTCTCGAAGCGAAATGATGACATAAAAATCATGCTCAATAGGATTACGCTGAGGCCCATGCTGCCGGACAGGGGAGAAATGGGGGCCTAGTCACCTGGGGCCTTTCTCGTAGGCCAGTTCACAGGCCCTCATTCCCCCAGCAGGCTTTCCCCGGTCTGGGGAATCCTGGGAGGTCCAGGTGCACTTCCTCAGGAGAGCACTGAGTGCTCCCACAGAAGGCACTCTACAGGTGGAGAGGTGGCCGGTGACCAACACCCTGCTCACATTCCCCTCTTCTCTGCTGTCTTTCAGTGATCCCGGAGGCCGACTTGGAGACCGGGCCATGAGACCCTCAGGTAAGTGGAAAGATAACCCCCCAGGCCCTGCCTCTCTCCAGGTCCCAGGCCTTAAGCTACTAAAGGGATGAACTTCCCGGCAGGGAGTGACATTAACAAGCAGCCCAGGAGGCATTGCCTGCCTTCCTTTGGGGAATCCAAGGGCCCTTAGCCCATTTGTGAGTCCAGCATGGCATTCCAAACTGCCATTCATAGAGAATCCCAATGGACTCCCACATGAGAACCAGAGACATGTCTGCAGGGTGGAGGTGGAGAAGTAGGTTCGGGTCCAGATGCTCAGTCAGCCCCTCTGCCGTGCCCAGCTCAGTGATAGGAGTCCTTGAACATGACTTGCCTGCCGGGTTTTTTTTTTCTTTTCTATCTGTGCCCTGTGCCCCGTGGCACAGCCGGGGCACCGGCATCAGCATCTAGCGGTGTCAGGAGGGTATATGCCGGGAGCAGGCCGAAAATGGACATCAGCAATGGGCAGCAATCAGGCACTAGACTCCCCAGGGACAGCTAGGATATTTCTCTGGGGCGAATAAGCCACGTTGAGATTCCAGTGCCCAAGGGCTGCACGGACACAGGCAGCCAGGCCAACTAAGCTGTCTTTTGG